AGTTTGACTGATGAACGCGGGGCGGGGGGAAAAAGTAAACCAAAACTTTAGACCTTTTTGGTAAAAAAAAAAAAAAAAAAAAAAAAAAAAAAAAAAAAAAAAAAAAGCAGCCCTCTTCCTTTCTGCAACATTTGGCTATGCAGCAGTAGGAACCAGCACAAAGATTTGGCTGGACAGAGAGGAGGACAGGGGAAGGGAGAGCTGAATCACTTTATACATAAAATAAATCTAAAGCAATCCTGGCCCTCAGCTAATACCCTGCGTGTTAAAAAGGAGATGTGTGTTATGATCTTGGTTTTATTAGTCATCTCGTTTAGAGATTGGCTCCAACAGAAACTTCTGGATCCACTCTGAGGAAGGAGAGCATCCAGAACTGAACTTTTGACTCAGACTAGCATAAAGATAAACAGGTTTTTTAATCCATTTTTTTGGTTCATTGACTCCATTTGGGTTTCTTTAGTTTTAGTACAATAATTTAGTGTGTTACATGGAACGTAAATGCATCTAAACTTATTCTACCAGAATAAAAATTGTCACTGTTCATTTACTGTAGTGTACTGTTTCCTACCTATGCTTTCAACAGAAAATCATCTTGGTTCAAATGTTCTGAAGCTTTTTTTTTTTTTTTTTTTTTTTTTTCCAACTCTACTGTTGGTAGCTAGTAGTGTTAAAAAAAATAAATATAGGAGATTTGATTTTTAAAGACTGAGTCCTTAATACTACATAACAATTATTCCCTATGAGAGGGCCAACCCCAAATGCATCCAAAATTATGAGACACTTTGTAAAGTCCTAGTTAGGAGGTTTCATGAAAAATGTGACCAGGACCCACTTGCATTTATCTACACACTTTTGCTAGTACTTTATCAAGAAATGCGATCTAGTCTTCAACATCAGGTGCTGAAACAGTCCCATTTCAGTTCAAAAGCAGAACACAAGTTATAAAGAAGTAAAAAATAATCCATTTTCAAGTCCACATCATGATTTTTTGGTGCCTGGTCTATGATTTTTTAAGGCTTTATTTCAGTAATGCTCATTTAACTTTTGGAAGATAATTCAAACCTCAGTGAGGTGACTTTTCCTTTGCTCAGCTCTATGAAAGTTGTTCACATTTGTGTAAAGTTGGGGAAAAGAGAGGAATGAAAGATGCTATTTTCACCTTCCTTTACTTACAGGAAAATTAAATGTAAGACTTCAGCTGTTATATAGTTAATAGTTATTTTACATACAGATAGGCAGACCAGTAGACAGAATACTTTTATCTACACTTTACTACTGCCTGTATTTTACTGAGACGGTAAATAAGAAACAGGAAGAAAACTGGGCACAACATTTTAAAGAATTCCTACTTTTTGACTAAATTCTCCCTAAGAGCTGTGAAGAGAGGCAAGACACGCCTGCAGTGACAGCAGCGCAGTAACCTGGGAGGTCAGACCTGCAAGGTGCTATTAAGACACCCCTCAGTTCGGGTCCCTCTAGCTCGGCTTTCATTTTTTAAGCTCATTCAGCACTAGCTGCTGGGAAATGGGGTAACGGACATCAGGAGTCGGGTATGTACTTCTCACAAGCAGAGATGTGCAGGAAAATCCAGACCTCGTTCTGGAGTTGCTGGTGAAAACTGGGCACATCCAGGGTGTGCTTCATCGCATCCTATAAAGGGTTTTTAAGCCTGGACAGGAATGTCCTGCTGGGGACGTGCCTGTTCTCTCCACAGACCATAACGAGAACATAATGCGAGTAGTTCAGATACGGATATGGTATTCCAAGCCACAAATACCTAAAATTAGATGAGATGAATGTCATCCTCAGTCTCTTACTGCCTGATTGATCATGACACAAGTGTAAATAATCTGGCATCCAACTAACGAACGTTTCACTTCCTCGAGTACATGCTCTGACCCTAGATGAGGGGGCCTTTGGGAGATGTCTTTGGCTTACAAGCTCAGCTGGTATTTCAAGTAGGGAGATACTAAATTAGGAGTATTTCTAGGAGAGTCTGCATTGCAGGATTGAGAGAAAAGGGCAAAGTTTGCAGCTTTCGCAGGATAGCCTCAACAGAAAGGCAAATGGGATTTGCTGGTTAAGAGCATCTTCTGTCTAGAGAATCGGCTGAAATTTTAGGGAATAGTTGAACTGAGAGTGACACCTGCTCCAGCAGTAGACAAGGAGACTTGAACAATAAATAAAACCACTGTCAGCTTCTCCTCTTTGTATTGGAGGAGGAGAAAAAAGGGAGCAAACCAGGAGTTCAAACTTTACCAGGAACTTCTCATAATACTAATTACGAAAAGATTGAGTGCTTATCAGCTGTGACACAGCAAGTATTGCTGATGTCCTTTATTACCTCAACACTCTCCTCCTGTCTCCTCGTGAGAAGCCAAGGCTTCTTCATGTGCTGGATTTGAAACCTGTGACATTCTCATGGAGTAATATGGGACTCTACACATCCAGAAAGTAAAACCTACATCCAACCGTTTGGCAAAGGCCATGGCCCACAGATGCAAACTAACAGGGGCCTGAAACCTTCCATACGTGTTTTCTGTGGTCCCTGTTACAGTAGGACCAGACTCCTAAAACCTTTAAATTATATCATGCCACAACAAAGAGCAAAAAACAAATCTAACTGTGAAAACATGCACACTGTTGGAATATAAAATTTGAATAGAATGCTGCACTTAAATCCATAAGCATCACTTAAAATCTATTCTATTGCCACTAAGTGTGAAGTTATGACTTTTGCAATAAAAAAACCCCAAGCGGTTATAAAACGCTGGGTTGGCAGCAGGCAGGCAGTGGTTTTTCGTAGGCATTGGTATTTCCAGCCCTCAAACACTCTGTCAGGGTGGTGCTAAGTTGCTCAAGACATAATAATGTCTCCTTGTGTGGTGGGAACTCTGATCTGACTGCCCATCGTAGTAAGGTCACCCACTACACAGTCATCTATAAACAGTTTACGGTGGGAGAATTTGCAAATGCTCTGCTAGAAACAGAAGGCATGCACATGTCTCTGCGTTTACTCTGAGGGGCAGTTATTTAGAATACCAAGAATAAAAAGTGTAACAACGAACAAAAAGATGGAGTGATCACAGTGAGCTTTTCAAAATATTTCAGTGAAGCATTAGAGTGGCTTTTAACTCTGCTGGCAGTGGCTGAATCCTCCCAGCAGCTGCGTGTGGAGCTGCTGCTGACAGAACTGATGTTTGGTAACAGATTAGTTGGTAGGCTGCTAACGTAGTTAACAGCAGATATGAGTATTTGTTTTAGAAAAGGTTGTAATCTTCATGAACAGAAATCTGGGTGTGCTTGAAATAACAGGGGCAGAGGTAGCAGGGACTTCCCGACTGAGTTATACCCAGATTCTTCCCTCAGCTTTTCCAGAGGAATCGCTTATAAGGAGAAGAGCGATGCCTCTACCCACAGTCTTCCCGACCTGGGACTGCCAGGTTCCCCTTGTACACCGGAGAGCTGCCAAATACCCCCCTCACCACCGGTGCTGCTAACGCGCTTCTCAGGGAGCGCAGACTGGCAGTAGTGGTAACAACACCCCGGAAATCCTTGGGGGACGAAAGTGCAGCGCCAGTAAAAATTATTTCTCTCCCTTTTAAACATCTGTGTCGAGTTTAAAGACTGAGCTAAACTCTGCTGTAGGTCACAGCCTTGCACTGGATTACTGCACAAGGCCACGGTGGGAGCTGAAGAGCATCAGGGACCATTTACCCCTGCAGCCTGAGGTGAGACCAAGTAACCACCGTAGCAAAATCCAGCTAGCACTGCAATGAGGTAGCACGGAATAGACATTCCCATCATTTCTCACCTGACTCAAACTGGGAATAAAGCATGCAGCACCGCCAAGTAAATCACAACAGAAGTTTTCAAGGCCGAACCCTTTAGAAAAGGTCTCTTTGCTTAAAAAACAGAAAAAAAAAAAAAAAAAGTTGAGGCCATGGCAGAGGTTGGATTCTGCAGCTTCGTGATAAAGTAAATAAATCTTTAAGAGAAAATAAGTTTCTTAATATGTTTAGAAAGAGAATTCTTTTGGAGGAGGAAACTGGCAATTGTTTTCTGAGAAGATTTTTAAGTTGCTTTGAAGAAATCAGAGCTACTACATGCGATGACAAAGCTAAAAGAAAAACAGAACACCACCAAAGACAGATTAAGCACATTTACTTTCCTTTCACATAAAAGCACACACACACCCCCCCACACACACTCTAATGACTAGCATTTACTGAAAGCGATTTCAAGAACTCTGCAAAAATTTCCTCCCTCCTAAAAACGCTGAATCTCAAACGCAGACCCAATTCTAGCAAGGAATATTAAGGAACTCTAGAGGGTTGTGCCAAGCACCTCTGCAGAAATAGCTGCAGCTGTGTAAGACATTACTACCGCTCAGCTGTTCGGAGCCGCTTCTTGCCACACCCACATATACATCAATCACATATAGGTCATTTGAGAATTCCTCCTCTGCTTCAGTGCACCAGCAGCCGGGGCGGCTTAATCTGTTTCTGCAACGGTTGTCTGACTATGATCCTGTGAACAGTAGCTGAACACTCTCATTCAGCTCCAGGTCGTCACGACGGGTAACACCCGGGCTTCTGCATCACCCATTCTGGCTCTTCTACTTCAGGGCTTTTTCTCCCCAAGGATATTAAGTTATTTAGATGCTTCACTCAGAGAGCAGAATTTCAAGCAATTTTCTATATTTCTTGCTCACAACCCTGATTCAGCTGTAAATAGATTCACAGCTGAAAGTTCATGCATACCATTTTTTAAGCTGCGCTAAAGCTACAGGGATGTAGACTGACACGAGCTGATGGTAAAAATCCTGAAGTACTGCATTGTTACTCAGATATTTTTCTACAGCAGGAAATACAGTGGGTTCTGTGGGAAATTTTGGAAGAGGTGTTAACCCTAGTGAGTCCAACAGACTGAACTCTCCAGGTGTCTGAAAACAGAAACATTTTCCAGTTGCAAACAGCATCGAAGAAACAGGTGCTTACCTGCTCCAGGGAGAAGAAAACAGGACTGAATAGCAAATAGGGAAGACTCCGCAGCAGGTTTCCGAGAGTCACATGAAAATTCTTGACAGGTGACACAATTTGGTTGAAAAAAAAAAAAAAAGTCAGCCCCTTGCCAAAAAGGCAGCTCTGCAACAGAAGATGAACAAAAAGTAGTATTGCAAATACTGCTATGCTATGAATTGTTTCTTAAGAGTGCACTAAGCCCACACATGACACACACAAAGTGCAATAATCAGTGCTGCTCCACCTCATCACTGACAGAGCTAAACGCTTCTTGCATTTCTCCCTTTTCTATTTTGAGGGGAGTGACTCGTTGACACCAACACCAGGAGTTACACTTAGCACTAAAGAGGACAAGAGAGTTTCCGGGAGCACACGCGGTGCAAATAGTTCTGTGTTTCAGAACTAAGGAGGTGACAGAACAAGGTTTGAAACGTGCTGCATGATCTGCAGTGGTCACCCTTGGAGAGCAGCTGTTCTATAAGGGCCAGAACAGCCTTAAATGCATCATTTAGAAATAGTGTAAATTCGTTCTTTCAGGGCTTCAAATGACAGTCGTAATGTCACTGCCTGTCCTCAGCTGGTCTCGAGGTGCCCAAGATGATTGTTTACACAATAAAAAACAGAGTGGGAATCTTGGTGCAGCACAGAATTTGTAATTTCGTAACTTAGAATACAAACATGTTAATTATTTAAAGGGTTTTTAAAGAAAAATAATTCACTGGTCAATAAATATAAAACACTTATATACACAGAGTGCAGTTTCACACACATCGACATCCTGAGTAGGGCTCCTCATGCCTTGCACTTTGCCTAGAGTAGTACCAGCTCTAACACGCTGCTAAATCTAACCAAGACTATATAGACATCCTTTCTGGCTCAGGTTACCCTGCGTACAAACCCCTCTTGCTTTTGTTTTGTGGTATTTCAGACCCACTTTGCAACGATGTAAATAGCTGCATGTGTTTAAAAATATATATTGTGAGGTTAATCTTTCCTGCGCTTGAGAGAACTAAGTAATCCCCTTATACTCCCACCTTTTGTCTGCTCTATGGGTGTGAGCTTCATTCTGTTACCACTTATTTCAGTCAGAATCAGAGGTGTTAGTTTAAATAAGGGTGTTGTGCAAAGTCAGTGCATTTTGACTGCAATGCGTTAAGGAGCTCAGATGACAGCCTGCAGAACGGGAGAAACTATCTGCGGCTTGTGGGCTACAGAGCCACAAACCGATATTTCTGAGTACTGGGAGGGGGCAAGGTAGGGAAAGCAACTTTTTCAGCAACACACGTGCAGCTGGGAGATGACACATGAACAGATCTGCAGCGAGGGACATGTAGCAAAAGCAGAAGATACGAGCCTAGCACACTAGGTACAAAGGTGCTGTGCCAACAAAAACCTCCCCGGACACAGCGAGGTGTCCGACTCGTATCCAAAAAACTACTCCAAGCAAAGCAAGCTGGATGGGAGTAGAGCCTTCTTGATACAGCTGGGTTTGTATGAGGAGCATCTGACAAAACTGCTCAAGGGGTCAGGTCCTTGAAGCCTTCCAAAAGCTGCAACCAACTATCTCAGCTGGAAGGGGATACTACTAAAGTACGTACCCAAAATAACAGGTCTTGAATTTGGCTTTTTTCTCCTCCCTGCTTAAAAGGCAAATTGAGGAAGATTCTTAATCTTCTAATTTAAAATATATGAGAAATCCCACTGATTAGGGTCAAAAAGTGTAACAACAACTATTTGGTTCTAGAAAGATTAGATGCTTATGGGTATTAAAATAGTGTTTTGCTTAGAGATCCTGCTTTGACATTTCTATGCTAGCAGATAAAACAAAAATCATCCATTTTGCCTATAACCTGTGATAATTTGATTAACCAGGATAATAAACCAACATCACAGTGCTGCTATTCAGGATTTGAGGGGGTTACTTCAGAATAAAATTCTGCTGCCTTTTTCATTTAAATCAACCTAACTTTGATGATCAAAGCTCAGCAGTTCTGTCAATACATGCATGAAGTATACCTTTTTTTAAAAAAAAAAACAAAACAAAACAAAAAACCCCTTCTGAATTACATTTATCTTGCTTTCATCTAATATCCTCTACAAAACTATTTATAGGTTCAGGGGAAAGGGAAAAAGAGAATGCCTGAAAAAAAGCCAAGCCCTGATGCTGTTGTACAGAAGTTCCAGGAGTCTGTAATTAAGCATATTCCTCACACCAGCTGAGCAATCAGTATGTTATTTTGGCAGGTAAAGCAAATCAAGAATTCATACAGCCTTTTGTTATCAAGTTTTGATACCGTGCCTTAAAGCAGGCATCTCCCAGGGGCAGAATTTCAGAACTGCTTTACAGTTTTCTCAGGGGCATACTAGTACCTCTCATCCCTCCACCTCGCTACGGGGAAAGCAGCAATACGAGTCTCTGAGGAGAATCACTATGAAAGGCCTAAAATACTTTTGCAGATGTACCCACCGCGTTGTAGCTTTAGAGACCTCCTGACCAGCACGGAAAGAAACACACTCCAGAGGTTTTTAGACCCCCGAAGCTGCCACAAATTCAGATTCAGCTCAAACTGCTCTGGGCCACAGGGCAGTGTGATTTCCAGGTATATTCTGTGTGTGAGGCTGAGGAGGAAAAGGTAGTGATGCAGCTCAAAAAGCAGTTATTTTGGAATTTGTTCAAACCCAAAATGCTACTTCTGGCAGAGAGACTAGTTGTCCAAATGCTGGAGAATATTCAAAAACGCAGGGTAAACCACAGGATCGCGCATCACAGGTGCATTACACATAACACATTAATATAACTGCCCTCCTTTTCTAAGTGACTGTACTTTAAAATTATTTGTGAGTGTGGGTGAATTTCATTTGTCAGACAGCATGAACGTGCTCAGTGAAGGGAGTGGCAGTTCTTTCTCAGGACTGACAACAAGAGCTGCTCTAAATCAGTATTGCAGTGGAGCTGACACAGTTGCCCCACTTACACCTAGGGCTCCGGCAGCTGCGGCCAGAGAAGTCAGTCAGAGGGACTCGCGCTGCGGGTATGACTTCCTGCCCAGCCGCGAGCGGCCGGCGGAGCAGCTCTAGCATTTCAGGGACTGCAGTCTACAACGGTGCAAGCCAAGAATCAACACGCTGGCTGGAAATGGTGATTGCAATTAAACTACAATCAGCTTGGCAGGCTGACGTGATCAAGGCCTGTCGTCTGAACACCCCCAGCAGCGCCGTTACGGACTGGTTTCTACTAGAAGATTTTAATTTGGGGCTGCGCTGGCACATCGATGGCTGGAAACCGCAAAGGCTTGGTCACTATTTTCAGAGTTTTGCAAAGCTTGGCTCAATCAACCAGAAGCGTGGAAAAAAGTGCATAGGAAGAATGAAGTGAAAAGACATCAATGTAAAACGCACCATCTGTACTCTTGGCTTTATTCCTCGAGTAGCGTACGTGTAGATTTTCCTCTGGGCTAGCTAAGCCTTATTTCAGCCTATGAAGCAAGCAGCCTTTCTGCACTCTTGGCCTTCCCTCCCCGGCCATTTAACAAGCCAGTCTACAACTGGTCCCAACAAGCATGACCGTGGGATTCAGACTATGCCCTACCCAGCTTCGCAAGTACCCTGGTTCACTCTTTCAGACCTCTGAAAGATTTGTAGGTATAAAGTTGGGGTTTGTTTGGTATGGTTTGGTTTTTTCCCCAGAGATAAAAGATGTCAGTATCTCTTCTGGGCTTTACTTCCCTGATCTTTCTCCTTTAAAAAGATATTCCACTTCAATGGAATTAAAGCTCATACTATAAATTCAAATTATAACTAAAGGATGAATTCTGATGAATTCTGGCTACAGAAAGGAAAGCCCCTATTGACTTTCCCTGGGGCAACTCAGACAAATGATAAGATTGTTTTTAATGCTGACTTCTCACAGCTGAATTTTTTTTGCTGACAGTCTGTATCTGTTGCATTTATTGCTGAGTTTCTTTTCTGCTCCAACAGTGACACTTAATCTCTTTTCCATCTCTGAGGACATCAGCCTATGAAGATAGAAACCTAAAGGCGGTAATTCATTCCAAAAATCTTTGGTGTTACTCTTAAAAGAAGGCAGATGAAAAAGTTATAGAAAGCTCTACATTAAAAAGTGTCAAACAACTCTGTGGAGACAAAGAAAAGGAACATACAAAAATCAAAATGAAACTAAGGGGCTAATTACAGGATCAGCCTAGTCTGAAGGCCCAAAAGAATCTCCCCCTCTCATCTCAGATGATTACTTTCTCCACACTCAAAACTCCTACTTAAAACCTCTGCCCACACTCAAAACTCCAATAATTCATATTTAAACCCTCTCTCATTCTCCATTTCCCACAGACCAAACCTTAAACAAAAGGACTAACTGATGGCAGGGACAGGCGCCGCGCCGATAACCGCCAGCATGCGTGCCCAGCCATCGGTGGCAGAGAGCACCTTGTGAACTGGATTTCACAGCACCCCAACTTCATATTCAGCTACGTGAAAACACCTCACAAGCAACGCCTGCAAATGCAACTGCATCACTGCCAGCATCTTCAGGCCGCAAGCAGGCTGTGAATTTAATTGTGGAGGTAGAACAGTAACACATTTTTCAAGGGGTGACTACAACTTAACAGACAAAACAAAAATCCTGACAGCAATGCACCTCAAATTCATAAGTGTCTTTATAGATTGAGGTTTTTACATCTTTCTGCACTGCCCTGGCTCTGCTTTAATAAAAATGATAGGAAAATAGTCAACATTTTCAGCACGAAAAGACTGGAAAATCCTATTCATAATGTGCACCATTTTAAGCTAAATTCATATTTGACGTATTAGTGCCTTGGGTTTACAGGCTGCCCATTTGCAGGTCTCACATGAAGGTCAACATCCCACAGGGATTTCAATAAAACATTAAAGCCTCGGGTAACTCCAGGAGAAGAGTTTTTGGATGGGTGAACTGGACACTAAAAATTCCCTTTGAACTTTGCACGGGCTGTTTCAGGACGAAACAGAAAGGTGACTCCTTTGCTTCCATTAAAGCACTCAAACTCATGAATTTTTGAAGCAGCATTTAAAGGGTTTTACTGGGAAAGGGTGCAGCGAGTGTAAACGAGGGCATTTTGGAAGAATTTCACTCAAGCACCTGCTGCGTTTCCTTTGCTGGCTCAGTCACTTTAGGCAATCTCACAGACAGGGACTGTCAGCTTCAACACCCCTGTAGTTGAAAACCGATCAAATCCAGGTGGGACTTTTTTTTTTTTCTTTTTTTTTTTTTTTTTGCACAGCAGCCTGGCACGATCTCTACAGCAACATTTCTCAAAAAAAGAGGCATGCTCCTTCAGCTGCCTTTGCTTTTGACTAAAATGCCAACATGTCTTATTGGCCTCCTTCCTCATTCCCAAGAACTGCAGGAGGTGGAAAACCAAAAAGGGAACGTTTCAATTTGTCTTCCTATTTATAAGCAATTGCTGCGCAGGGGGAAAGTGCTGCCCACAGCCATCCTCACCCGGCCCCTCTCCCAGCCCAGTGCTCCTCTGTCTGCAGAGGTGCCAGACCACATTTAAGGCATCTGCTTCTGAAGCCGATGTGAAAAACATCCATCATGAACAGGAGCTTCCTATTAAGAACAGCAGCAACCCTCTACAAGAGGTTAAGAGACCGATGGATCCCGGGCATCTGAGACTCTTAACCAGCTCAGAGAAACAAATCTCAGCTGACCCATCACTCCCTGGCAGGGCCAGCAAAAATCGAGCTTTGAAAGAAGCAACAGGAGAGGGGGAGAGGCACCAGTCAGCAAAGCAGAGCCAGAAGCAACTTCCCATGCAGCGAGAATTTAAAGTCTGCATGGCAAAAAGGAATGACAAGGTCACAGCCCACAGACACCCTTGGCAACTTTATCTGTCTCATTTCAGACATTGCTGGACGTGCTCTAAGGGTCACCAACATGGGCTTCTCCACTCAAACCACCAAGCTTCTGGCTCCGCACCTTTCAGGCACACACCAGAGCAAAAGCCACTAGCACTTCTCTATTTTTAGAGCAAATCTGGGGTTACTTATGGCCACAGTAGGGATAACCAAGCCTAACACTGCCAGCATTGCCTCCAGATTAGAGACATATGCACGACCTGCAGCAGAGTTTTACAAGAGCTGTTCACAAGGCCCTGGCTGCAAAAGAAAATTTTGGTTGGGTGGCACAGATTAGGAAAAAGGAATGTGAAACTTCATAATTCTCAGTTTCCAGGATCACTATGACTGCAGAGGGGGGGAAAAAACCCCAAACAACAGAGAGTCTGATCCTTACATGGGTAGTTCTCTACAGCCATACATCCTGCAAGCAGAATTAATCCCCACTTGCATTGGATAACGTGAGGGAAGAGGGGGGAAAAACAAAGAAAAACCAAAAGAACAATAAGTAGGCAGTTCATCCTAAGGTCATTACAGATGGTTTCCAAGATGGTGAAGAGAAATGTAAGAAACAATGACACTAGTACCCCTTCTGCCCCTTCCGCTGCTCCACCAGAGCAAAGCTGGCAAAGGGGACGTGTTAGACGCTGCTTTTGTGCAAAATCCAGTGGTGTCAGCTCCACTGCCAGGGAAGGTGAGGTGCCGGGGAAGCTGACAGATGCAATACTGAGATGACATTCTGCTCCACCAGCCCTGCAGATTTTGAAGAAAGGTAGCAAATAGCTGGAGGCAGCGACTTCTTATATTTTCTCTGACGTTTCTACTACACTCTCAGACTCAGCTTCTGACTATGCATGAGACAGCAGCTGCTTAGTCAAAAGCTTCCCAAGGAAACACAGTAACACGAGAACACAGCTCCCCAGCCTGCATCTGCTGCTGTTCTCAGAGCGGGTACTGCTGCCTGAACCCCCGCAGAATAAAAGGGGGAAGGATATGAAAGAAGTTTTGGGCTCCTCTCTAGTGAGGATGATGTGCCTGGACAGCAGAGGATAAACTACTGCTGGGAGAAGATGGCCCCGGTCTCTAATCTCTCCATTGCCAGAGTTTGAGGAGAAGGGAATGTTGGGCTTGGACTTACCCAGAAGTTGGCAAGTTCACGTGGCTCCATCCATCTCCACCACTGAACCAGCCCGAGGCAAGATAAACTGTGCAGCGGCGACAGGACTCGGTACGTCGGAGGCAGCGCGTAGGGAAGGGTTTTGCAGGAAATAAACTGACTTCAAAAAAACGGAGGTGAATAGAATCAGCAGCAATTACAGAACTATCACAAAAAGCACCTGGATTCAACTCTGCTGCGTTTTTGTGCTCCTGCCACCAATGAAGTCCTACAGTGCAAATACTAGGGATGTAAAAACTGTCATCCCATGAGAACCTCTCTAAACAGTTACGAGAGACACCCTGAGCCTCTAAGCGGCATCCAATTTCTCAGTAATGACTCGAGTGCAGAGCTGTTCTTGGGGATTAACAATGGCCTGGAGGGTCCTTCAGCCTCAGGAAGGGACACTCGTCAGTGACCAAGCTCTGGAAAATCTCTACAATCATTCAGAATACCAGGAGAGGAAAACAGAAAATAGCACTGCGCTGGGTTTTTTTTTTATACTGGGTACACAAGGTACTTTTCTATTGATGTCAACAGATACTGGATCAGGACCCAGGTGGCTGTGAGACCGCCTGGAAGAGCCTGTGGCTCCCAGAGAGGAGAGGTGGACTCCACACACCTTGCACAGGGGAACCTATATTTTTGTTTGCTTTCGAGTATACCCTGAAGTCCACGATCACCCGTTTTCCACGTTTCCACAGCAACTGATCCAAAATATATACTTAATAAATAAAAGGAGGGCATCTTCTCCATACCCCTGGGGCTGGGATGTCAGAAACCATGCAGGCCCAGGTAGCAGATGGAGTCCCTGAGCTAATGAAGCATTTAAGCACATCCTTAACTAATTTTAAGCACAGTAGTCATCCCGCTTTAGCTCTGACTGGCCACTCCCCTTTGCTTCTAGATAACCCTCTCCTGTTCCAGAACTGCTGCATTGACAGGTATGGGATTTTATTCAGAACAAGCACTGAAATTCTGTTTGGCTCTCAAATTCTGGGAAAATCTTCAGTGGAGAGAATGGAGAAATGAGAGAAGAAGGAAGAGGATATTGAAGGGTTCCAAGCAGCTAGACTCTCTGCCTCTTGAGTACAGTTTATTCTGACCAGGCTATTTACTCCCAGTATTAATCTTCAGTGGTTTGTGTTCACGATACAAGTCATTTGGCTGTCTGTGCTGGGTGGGGAGACAGCAACCTGTCAGTGGCAGAGCAGCTGCACACGTCCAGGCACACAGATGACAAGGATGCAGCTCAAGTCTCTCCTCCCTATATTTCCTTCCTATAATTTTCTTTCCTCCCCCCCGCCCAATTCTTTCGGTGAGGGGAGAGAGATATTTGGACTTCAACATGCTTGAAAAGCAAATTAAATTCGCCTTCTAATTATTTCCTGAGCCTCTGTACCAGCAATCTGCCCTCACCCCAGACAGATGGCAACTGCTGCTGCACAGCTGGTCTGGCACCAGCAAAGTCAGCGGGTGAATGGCAGGCAGGTGTGATGCTGGCTTGTCTCACCAGCTGCAAGGAAATCAAGGAAGAAAACCCAGCCTATCGGCTGAGGAGAGGCCATTGGAAGCTGTTCCTGCAGGGCAGCCTGAGGTTTAATCAGAGAAAAATCTAATATATATTTGTCTGTTGAGATTATGCCAGTTGACATCGGGCATTTAGCGGAGGACTGAAGGAGGCTGTAGCACTGGCTCTAGGTACCACAGAATAATGTGGGTTGGAAAAGCCCTTGCAGCTCCTCCAGCCCCACCATGACCCTCCCCCTGACCGTTCCCAACTCCCCCAGACCCCTCAGCGCTGGCTCAGCCCGACTCTTCAACCCCTCCAGGGATCCCGGGGACTCCCTCCTGCCCTGGGCAGCCCATTCCAACGCCCAACAGCCCCTTCTGCACAGAAATCCTTCCTCAGAGCCAGTCTGGTATCTTCTCACTCCAAGGAGCTTCTACCAGACGTCTTATTTTTTATTAAATTAGAATATGTGTATAGATATGTCTGTATATATACACATTTTAAGTGTCTATTTCCATGTACTTACATAAAGTTGAATACAATGGTTCTGCTACTAAGTACAGTCATGATCGGATACCTGCACCCGCAGCAACATGACTAACAGCCTCCCTTCAGTTATTCTACAGCCAGAATACAATGTCACTTTATCAACCACCACAACACCGCTTTGTCCCAGCCTGCCACTGTCATGAGCAGACATGAAAGCCTCAGGACCATCTTGAGGGCTAAACTGGTATCAGCTGAACTGAAAAGAAACATCCTGACTACAAAAAGGAGGAGGAAAAAAGGAACCCTGATTCATCAATAAAAAGAAAAGGCTAAAACTTCTTCCCCATTCTCCTCCACTTGATAAAAACAATGAGTTATCCTGGACTACCCAACTAGTTCACAATTTGGCTAAAGTTCTACACAACTTTAAACTTTTTAAAATAAGACCCTTTTTAGTCTGGGTGGTGGTATCTTTTTCTTCCCCATTAATTTGCCAGGTTGTCCTGAGAGACTTCCACTGTTGTGTCTTCACTCCTACCAAAATCTCCATGGCTGTTGAGATTTTCGCTCACAAAGCGATGGATGGGTTTGTTTCCAAAGGAAGACTTACTGTCTGCTGAGAGACCACGGGCAGCCCGCCCCCTGCACAGCACCCTGTGAGCTCTGGGAGCATGTCCCCAGACACGTGGACAAAAAAACAACTCAAACAAATGCCCCAAGTGTTCATCTCTCACCAGGCAGAGGAGAGGGAAAGAGCTGCTGGAAAACACAATACCAGGCAATGTAAAGGTGAACATTTTGCAAACTAACACATTATCCAGGCTCACAGGAACACTCTAGTTCTGCCAAAACACGACTGCTGCCCTAGTGTTAAATGGATTTATTTAAACCAGTCTAGGCTTCTGCTTAGATACTGTCACACTGTGCAAACAAATCCCTTTGCGGATGCAAGCGGGAGGGTTAAAGCAGTGATGGGTCCAGGGATCCCTCCTGCCTGGGGCAGATGAGGAACAGCCATGCCAGCACGACGAGAAGCCATTCTATTTAAGCAAAGTTTAACCCAAGCTTTCTGATGTTGCCTGGAGTGGGTTAGGGACGACTCACACAGTCTAAGCAGACATGTGCAAGACTTAACCGCTGGCAGAGGGGCGGAATGAAAGAGCTGGGCCAAAGGGTGCCTCTCCATGTTCTAACCACCAGCAGCAGCTTGTAAAGCGGGCGGCAGCACAGCATCTTTGCTGCGTTTTATCCGAGTCATTCCGCAAAGCCTCAATGCAATTTTCTGGTGGTGCAAGGAAAACACAAACCTATGAACTTTCTTAATGCTATTTCCGCAACCCTTCTGTAAGCGGGTAACAACCCTATGCAATTTTCAAGCTTCCACGAAAACAAAGGCAACACAGGAGCATCATAAGTAGTTGAAGGGCAACATAATTTCAGATCCCAACTCAACACGTGAAACCAGATTTGGGGAAATTGTACCAAAACTCTGCATTACAACAGCAAAATTTAAGTGATAACCAAAGAGAAGGAAGAATCTGGATATTAAGGCACACTGTAGAGCTTATCAAAAACATTGCTGGTGGGCACAAGTGGCTGTTAAGAGCTTTGATGATGAAGTTACCTGCAGTGTTGTTTGTCACTGTTCTGCGTTATACAGAGACACAATCATCTGTGTAGGGTTTATAAAGAAGGGAGAGACAGAGCCTTTTGTCAAGGCCATAGTATTTACCCTGGAGGATCAGTTATTCCATTCACAAAAAAAAAAAAAGAAAAAAAACGTGAATCAGAAGAATCCCGAAGAGCGATGGCCAGCTTTGGTAGCGCTTCACTGAGTAAGAAAGGGGCACATAAAACAGGGAGGAACCACAAGCTGAGGCGTGCGGGCAGGCGGGGGACTCTGAACCTACCCCGAGCTGGCACCCCCAACCTCCCCCTGAAGTTATGGCTCAGTCTCTGCAGAATTAGCGTCGAGAGCACGGCTCCCGCACGCCAGGTCGGAGAACAATGCTGGAATGCTGCCACAGGTTGAGATGCAGAGAACAAAGAGGGGGAAAACCCCAAAGAACGCAAACCCCAAATCTGAAAGCTGCTCGAGAGGCTGCACCAGCCTGAGCACAGCTTCTCAGAGTTTTTACGTGGGGAAAACTCTCTCTGAGCCTCAATGGCAACTGCACCTCAATAAAAATTAACTACAAGTCAGACAATTTTTCCTCCGAGTTGTATCAAGCAGGCTCCCAAGCATCTACAAAATTAGTTGTATTTAAGGATTTTGAAAGATTATTGGCTGGGGTTTTTTTGCATTCTCAAACTATGGCACCTTGGTCATAGACTCACCAACCAATATCTGACTGAGGTAAGGTGCTGTGTGAAGGCAGCACAAAAAGAGATAATTAAGCATAAGCAAAACTAGAAGCATATGTTCTCTCACGATATGTTCTAGGCACAATCATTCATGGGTAACTAAAGAGTAGCAAAAGCGTTTCAACATAATCTCATAGCAGCAAGCCAGACAACTCAAAAAATTCCTCCCTATTTCCCTTCATTTTCAAACGACGAGGGAGAAAAAGGCTTTTACAAGACGCCACAAAAGGCTGGCAGACTCCATTTGTTTCACACAGAGTTGGTATCTGACTCTGAATACTGAAGACCTCACCAACACGACAACAACGCAGCGGTCCCCATGGAGAGATGGTCTGAGTCGCTGCTGCTCCATTCCCCACACAGAGTCGACGCAGCTTTTTGTATTCCTCAGTACTCTATTTAAAAGTAATTAAAAAAATTACTTCCCTGCATCAAAATTAATTCTGAAGCCTCGGAAGAAGTTGAAAGCCTACTATTAATATTATATGACTGCTATAAAAAACTCCTGTTTTTTTCCTTCTGTTTGTTTACCTTATACATACACCAGGAACGTCCTGGGTTTGCTGAAATATTCATGGGATGATGCTTGGTAGCTCTTATCTGCTAATTAAAGGGCAGAAGAAAGACACTCTAAAAAGTTAATTTGGTATGATAGTGATGCTCGAGGAAGTGAAAAAAAACCACATGAACAAAAATAGCCCTCAAAAGCAAAAAACAAAATCAAAGACAAGGGGATCACTCCCTTCCCCAGAGCT